ATCATAACCTATTCTATAAGTTATAGCTTTTGGCGGCCGTAGCTTTGTTCACGATACATTTTAGCAGTGAAGGTTCAAAATAAAATATGTTTTACTAATAGTTTTTCAAAATGTAGTCTACAAAACTTCTTTGTAGACAATGTTCTTCGCTGATCTATTAGTAGGCGACAAAATCACCAAGCTACTGCAGGGTGAGCTTATGCGTGAGCAAGCTACGTAGAACTGCCCATGTGAAAAACAATTTTCTCGCAAAATTATTCCTTCAAATTTGAGAGTTTGGCCTTGAGACTTGTTTATAGTCATTGCAAAACAGACTTTGAGGGGAAACTTTAATCGTTTAAATTCGAACGGAAGATCATTCGGAATTGAAGGGATTCGTGGTACAAACACAGTTTCCTCTTTCACACATCCAGTTAAAATTGTGGCTTCTACTGTTCTACTATATTGCGATGTAAGGCTTTGACTTTAAGCCTGGTCCCGTTGCACAGTTTAGGTGGTTTCAAATTTTGCAACAACATAATAGGTGTGCCCACGCGCAGAATAAGCTTATGATATGGCATACCGGTGGTTTMAATGAATTTAAAAATTCAACCGAATAATTAGTTGCATCGTCTATGTTGACCACCGTATCTATTGAAGTATATACATTTACTTCCCTTTCAAAAGACATCAGCAGTGTATCATCGATAGCCGCCACTTGGTTATTTTTTGGAGTGAGTATAGCACGTTCACACAACCATTCCATAGGCTTATCATGATTATGAGCAATATCTGGATACATTTTTGATATTAAATCCTGTAGTTACAACTGTGGACAAACTTTCTGGGATAGTTATCATTTCATCAAACGATGGATAATCACCATTGCCAATTTCAAGTAAAAGATCTGCMAATCTACCAGCAAACTTTTCCTCTCCCAAGTAGGTATACCCTCATATTTTTTGACAGTTTGGRTATATTAATCTGATGCCATAAATTAGATCTTTTAAGACATGACTTGACTTCATCAGTTCTGGTCCCTTTTGGTACTACTGGTAGAGTCTGCCTAAAGTCTCCAGCCAGTAAAACCGTTACACCACCCATTAACCTTTTATTTTTTAGATGGAAACCCTCTGGCCGCCGTGTCGTACCGTATTTCCCGTAATCGGTGGACTGCTATAGTTATTATTATATGAATATAGATATTCAAATTACATGTAAAAAATTATTTTTACCGATTTCAACCCTTTAAAATCAAAATTTCGAAAAATCCTTTCTTAGCTGATGCCTACGCCATAATAGCTATTTGTATGCCAAATGTCAGTCCAATCCGTCCAATGGTYTGAGCTGTGCGTTGATAGCAGTCAATCAGCTTACTGTTTTATATATACAGATAATAACAATATAAATTAATGTCTTTAGATGCTATGAGCTATAATATTATAGTTAAAATTGAAAATACAATAAAAAATAAAATTTCAAAAAAATCTAATATACATTTACGTTTCTTTWAAAAAAAATTAATAATAATAATAATGATATAAGTTACAAATACAAAATATACGTAAAAATGTTWAAATTATTGTTTTTGATAATAAGAACATACAGATTTTAAAAAAGTTAGGGAATCTATTTTTTTTTCCTAAAAAAATGTTTTAATATTTAAAACAACTCGGGAGAGTTAACATATACTTCCTACAGGTAACTATAAAGTTAACCMGGGAATTTCATSGTATATAAAATAAAAATATAGCCTACTAATTTTAAATATTGAATTACATTTTTATGGATTTTATACTCATCATAATCCTTCAGTGTATTTTAAATTCTGTTTAAGTTTTTTTTGTCATTTTCTTTACTCTCCTATTATTAACTGATTGTATAATTGATCTGGTTTTTCAATATTTGAATAACAAAATGTGTTATAGGATGAACACTGTGAAATTGTCCATTATAAGTCCTATGAAATCTTTCAGGTCCATTTATGGTACTAAAAATACTTGATAATTCGATAGACAAAYAAAATGTAATTTCATAAAATAAGACCGATTTTGATTCAAAAACAGGTAAAAATGCATAAATAGTCTCAAAAAATTCAAAACAGCAAAATAAAATTTTTAATTTGAGTTTTCTGTATCATGAAACACATTTCTAGCTTACTTTGCTATTTTTTAAGCATCTCATAAGAAATATGTAAATGCTATAAAATCTCAACCCTGCAGGTCATATATGGTATATATACCGGTATGAAAGTTGGCAACAACGCATAAAACTTCGTACGCAATCGTTTAGTTAAAAATCAGGTAAAATCACACAGAATCGTGTATATAGTCCGATAACGAACGTGCGCAATCGTGTTTTACTCGGTAATTACTAATGATMAATCAATATAAATAAATAAATAGTAAAAATGGACTAAGTATTATAAATACTGCATCTAATATTGTTTCATGTAGATAGTTAATATTTACGAAAAAATGAAAAATTTCAAATATTTATAAATAACTTAAAAATTGTTTAAATATTTTGAAAATTCATCAAGTATAGTAATAGATAAAATAAACATTTGGTGTAAATGTAAGTTTCTACAGCTATTCGTTTTTTAATAACAACAAAATAAAAATATCGATACCAGAAAAATTCAGTGAATAATGAATATTCAATGTTGTAATTCTAATGCTCATAAAAATTTATTTCGAATTTCTGGTAGACATTTTAAAATTTTTTATTTGATAAAAGTAGATAAGCCCACGAATAATCTTGTATTGAATTTTCAAATCTTACATTTAAAAAGATAATTTTTTACAAATTTCTAACTCAAAATAAATTGCATATTTTCGTGATTTTTATGTATTTTGTCAAAATTTTAATTTTCAACGCTTATTATTAAAAAAAAATTTATTTTTAATATTTTTTTTCTACYATTGTAACAATATATTATAGAAGTCCTGCATTAAATTTTAAAGCTTTTTTACCTAATGAATAAAATCTGATGTCATTTATGAAAAAAAAAACTAAAAAGATTGAAAATTTAAAGTCTATTTTTTAAGTWATTTTTTTTTTGTTTTTGTTTTTCTCAGTGMTTTTGAAAACTACTAGAAAATTCAAAATTTGACCTCCCCAATAGTGCAACTAGATTCATTTTYCAATCAGAAAGCTACTAAAATTGAAAATCGAAGCTCTATTTCAACAACTTATCGTAACTATATAAAGAAATACACATCATTGTAAAATCAATATATTCATCGTTCCACTCAAAATTTAAAATGGAGGTGAGCATGCTTGAAAAATCACCTTTTACATAGTATTTATTAAAACATTGTGTATTAAAACTATGTATAGCGATTCTGAAAATTTTTTTTGATATTAAATACCTAAATACTCATATAATATAACATAAAAATAAATTAATAGGTATTCAAAAATACTTATTACTAAAAAAAGTTATTGGAATAATACATAATATAATACGTGTAACATTTTTTATATATTTTTTATTAAAATTAAAGTAATYAAACATTTTTTTAGACAAAAGTTTGTTGCAAAAATCTATAAAAATAATACTTACCCTAACACTATTGTCATTAAATCAATTAAAGTTCATATAAACGTGTGACCGATGTATCGCGTCAAAGAGTAATACTGTAATATGCATATCTAGTATATAATACATACATTATTAGGTATAGTTACTAACGTTTGAAGTAGGTACCTACTTATCGGTAATAAATTGTTCTCTTGAAGACAGTGTGTAGGCGCAGGCTATCTCTATTCTGTTATCGTATTAGGTATTATTACATATTAAGTATTTATTTTGATGTATGCACTATGCAGATATAGTGAATCATAAATATAATTTAAAACATGATACTGTCATATTAAATCTTTATTGTCTATAGTGATTACCTCTGTTTTTTAGAAATTAAATTCTATACAAGTACCTCTTTATTATTTCTCAATCATGCACAGACATTCAATAAAGTTTGAAACTAGACTTTATAATATTCTAGGTAAAATATTTTCTACCTCCTTCATATAACCTTTGAATTAAATCAAACTTAAACGAAAGTCATTTGGCTGTCAGATATGAAATATAATTTTCCAGTATTTTCCTAACTTTAATCAAATATACCGATAAATAGTTTTATTCCAAACCTTCTATATCAATCTATACTCAGCGGATCAATGCATCCATTCATAGGTGCCATTTGTACCCAGAAGAATAAAAATAATAGAAGAAGAACGAGGTTACMTTTGGGTTTTATTTGGTGTTGATTAAAGCTATTTGTGTATAAGCTATAAGCTATAACGGTCATTTCAATTTTACAGATTCTACTATTAAATATTATTATTAGATTGTTGTAAAAGTGTATCACTAACCTCTTTATGTTGCAAACCATTTACTTACGTATATTATATTCTCTTTGTCGTGGGTCAATACATGATATTATAGCATATGATTTTTAGTTAACTATATCCTATTATAATTAAATGCTCACTATATTGTGTAAGTTTGATTACCGTTTTAAGTAGGTACTA